ATACTGTAGGAACTGTATGAAATTCAGGAGAACTTGCTTTATAGCCACTAAAATTCACATTGATACCCATTAATTACCTATTAGACTTGCTTTTTTTTCTTGCTAAATAAATAAGAAATTGTAAAGAATGTTGGTAATCAGACATTTCGGTGACCACTGATTTATTGACTTTCATTGTTAACAAGACAACACTAAACATGTATCTTCCTATATATGTTCCACAGAAGAAAGTCATTCAGGTTTGGAACTACACAAGGGTGAGTAAATGACAGAATGTTCATTTTTGGTTGAACTATAACATAACTATAACTAAATTTCTAAATAATACAATTAAATATTAGTTTTATGCATAATTTGTATGATGAAAATGTTTGCCACTTTTTGTGAACAGGGTATAAAACATTTACAAACTTTACAGGAGCTGCTAAACCTCACAAACAGTTGATTCCATATTTTATCAAAATACATCACGAACCATCAGTGGATTAAAATGTGTTATGCTGCCAGATGGCGTAGTTACAGCCTCTGCCAGCAGGGACTAACTGAACCATTCTAACCAGTCAGACCTTGACCCTTTACATGTGACTGGTGATCCTGAGGTTCACCATACTCAGCCTGCCCCTAGTGAGAGGCAGACAGATGCACATGTCATGCCTGAGAAAAAAAGGGCAGTTTATAAATAAAGAACAGGATTTTGTGTTATATGTCATGCTGAAATGAAATGCTCCCCCCTGCTGATGATGCTGGAAAATGAGAAGACGTGATTATAAAAGATGTGTTAATTACAGCCAGAGATCCATCAGTCATTCTCCCTCTCTGTGCCGCAGATTATTCCTCCCCTAGTCAGCTCAGTTTGAAGTGCCCTTCACAGATCACAGACTCCACCTCCATTCACCATACCCCATCTCGCCGCTGATAGAGACACATTCAAATTTAATGGCAGGGAGACTGAACAAAAATAGAGAGAAAAAAAAGTAATTTATCAGGATACTAGAAAACAAAACTGTCTGTGTGCATGTCAGAAAAAGACAGAAGGTGCGATCATGTCAGACAGGATAAGGGAAAAGAGAAGGGCCTCGGGCAATGAGAGAGGATGTGATTGATACGATGCTCCTGATAAACGAGAGAAGCGGAACAGCAGAGGAGGAGGAACGCGGATTAGAAACGTTGTACACACTGACTTCATTCAATACGGTTGTTTTCATTAGGCTTAGAGCAGGACATCAATAATCCAACACTCACAGCACCAACTGTAATTGTGTAGACATGGTGCTACTAGTGCGTATTCAATACATTTGGAAAACAAAAGCAGAGTAACTAATAAATAATTACAATAGAGCTGTGTGCATGAGTGGGAGAGTTGTTATTTAAAAGAGGCTCTGGTGAAGTTACGTAGTTGTCTTATTTAGGACTCTGATGACTGAGCAACTAGCGGGTGTGTTAGTTGAACCAAAAATTTGTTTTTTTTTGGAGTGAACTATCCTTTTAATGCCACATCAAACCCGTATGCCTTTCTTTTATCTATGGAACCCAAAACCAGATGTTTGGCTGGATGTTCATGCTGCTCCATACATCTTATGAGGATGCTGCCACTCTAAAATAACCACACAAAAAAAGACCATTAAAGTAGCCCATATGGCTTGTGTGCTGTATTTCCAAGTCTTCTGAAACCGTATGATAGCTTTGAGTGAGAAACAGACTGAAGTCATTAGCACTGCATCATTCATGATCACCTACATTCAGATACCTACTGTACATTCATGAAGACCTGTCACACCAAGTTTGACAGCATTACTTGTTAACTGTCTCAAAACTGTCACTCACGCAAAGCTATGTTATGGCTTTTACTACACTGAAAAAAATCTGAAACGTGACATTTTTAAGTAAAAAGACTAAAATAGTATTTTCTTGTAAAAACATCTTTAATAATCTTTAATTTACTTAACTTAAAAATTACTGTGTACTTTCATAGTTTCTTTTTTTTTTCTTTTTCTTTTTTTTTTTTAAGTTTGATGGTGCCTGTCCCCATTCCATTCCTGTGAAAAAAAGTGCAGCATGAACATTTGTCCAAACATAATTTTTGTGTTCCACAGTGCTGCAGCCTTAATGCAAGGATCTCCAACCTTGCTCCTGGAGAACTATTGTCCTGCAAACCTCAGTTCCAACCTGCTCCAACACACCTGCCTGTAATTCAAGTAGCTTAATTAGCTGCTTCAGGTGTGTTTGATTGGGGTTGGAGCTGAATTCTGCATGATGGTAGCTCTCCTGGAGCAGGGTTATAGAGACCCCTGGTCTAATGGGTTTGAAACAACATGAGGGTGAGAAAATGAATTTACAATTTTTTAAAAGAACAATCCAGTACCATTATCTTGACTCCTTCACTTAAACCTCTTTTAAAGATTACACTTCCAAACCAGATTTTTTATATATTTAACTTTGCATCAAATTAAAGTAAATCAATTAATATTAAATTAAGACAATTATCTGTTATTCATGAACTATACCTTATTACAAGCCTCTGGGCGACTGTTTCTGGTATGCAAGACCAGCTCCTCTGTACTTGAACAAGGAAATATTGAAATCTCAAAAACTGCTTGCCAAACTCGCATTCAAATAATATATTCAGTATCAACAAATAAATCTGACATGAACTCATGTCTCATAATTGTTTACTGTGCTCACATAGCATAAAAAAGCATATATTTCAGGTTGGTAAATCCAACGTGTAGCTATGTGCAGTCCTTAGTGCTTGCCTCAGGATGAGTGAACCATTTTGGAATATATACAGGTTTGATGGTTAATTGCAGCATTGAGTGCCGGTGAAATACTCTTGAGTAAAGGCCCGTTCACACCAAGGACGATAACTATAAAGATAACGATAAAGATATATGTTCTCAATATTAAAGAATAGCAGAGTCCACACCACAATTATAACAATAAAGACAAAGAGAAACGATATCGTTGGAATCACTTTCAAAACTATTTTTCTCCAGCTGATGAACGATAAAAAATTGAGAGCCAATCAGAATCCATCCTGCTGTAACAAGCTCGAGAAGTTAAAGCGGCTGACGAGCGTGCGATTATAATAATCAGACGATATCGTTCGCTGGTGTGGACGCTAATATCGTTATCTTTATAGTTATCATTCTTGGTGTGAACGGGGCTTAATGACTGTTAAACTGTATATTTGACTGTTTTCAATGGCAACATACCGGTGCTAATTTTATGTCTCTCTTATGACTCTGTACTCTGGAACTTGAGTGTTATTTTAAATGTATATTGTGAGCATAAAATCTTTGATACATGGCTAAAATTTTCCAATTACAGCAAGAAAATTAAAACATCACTCAAAAGGAGGAGGAATCAGTAAAAGACAAAGAGCTGAGAAATTGATAGAGGAAGATAAGTTGCATTGTAGCTAAATATGTTAGCTAATTACTAGAAATAATGCTTTGGATTTCAGATTCATAGTAACAAATTACATAACAACATAAAAGAAACAGTGTTTGTCTTGTTATAGGGATGAGATAACCTCAAAAATAAGTTAAGATCAAATCAAGTATATGGGCGTGAAATATTGATTTGAGTTGAAATTGTTTGGTTAGTAGGATGTAATAAGCGGCATAATGTCCATTCAGCTGGTCATAAGGCACTTAATCACCCTGTCTGGATTTATTTTCTGATGGTGACTGTACATCATCCCTTACATAATCTGTACTATAACGAACTGGAACCATTTTCATTTTTCATCTAGGTTTTTATTTTGTATTTATATTTTATTCATATTTATATATTCTTATGTATATTTATAAATTCTGTTATTTTATTAAAATATACAATTTAGATTAAGTAAATAAAATGTGACAGCATTTGCTCCTAGTTTGTCTTAGTTAAACCCGAAATTAGTCAATAACACAGATTTTTTTTTTTTTTTATCTTTTCTTTAATTGGTTAGAAGTGCAGAATCTCTTCCTTCCCGTCTGGCTCTCAGAGGTCTGATGCTGTTAATGATTTTCACTAAAGACTGATAGTTTCCCATTAATAAAACTGAGAAGGAAATACCATTGAGCACTTGCAAGAGGTATCTACTGTAGGTTAATTAGACAATAATTGGCATTTGTGTAGTGAAAGGTTACAATATTTTGGCTTGAAGGATAGCAGCGAAAATGTCACATTAACATGTAGTACAACCATTATAGAATTCATTTGGCCTTTTTCAAGCAAGACTGTTATCATATGCTACAAAAATATTGGCATCTTCGGACTGCCCTTCTTTCCCAATGTTTGAGCTATTGTTGCGAATTAGTCTGGAATTGATTGCCTTAATGTTTTGGAATTTATAATTGATTTAATTTCTTACACCCAGAAAATCTCCATGGTCAAAAATGACTGGAGCCGAGCTTCCTTTAGTACTTTAATAAGGTTCCTATCTCAGTTGAAACAGCTTGTTTCTGACGCTTCAAGCAACGAAAGGTTATAACTGAGATTTGGGAAATAAAATATAATTTAAACAGAGCCTTGAGGAACCGTGTAATTGATTTAGTTAGGCAGTTCTGGGCCGAATAACATGTTTACTGTTCAGGCTGAGGGAAAGGTTTTGTGACATTCTTTACCAACAAAAAAACGACTGAAACACAAATGTCAAACTTGGTGACTCAAGGTCTCTTGGTGAATAATCTAAATATATCCAGAATCTAGCAAGCAATACACTGGCCAGAAATGAAACTCGTAGGGCATCAAAATCCAAACCATTCTATGTGCACTTTATTTACAATGATTCATTAATATTACAATCCTTAATCTACATGTCACCATCTGCATACAGTCCTGTAGCCTCATAAGTGAGTGCAGAGCATTGGCAAGCCTGGAAATACGGTTTAGTTTTTAACTACAAAAGGTGCTAAAATAAAATCATTTTAAAAATGAAGAGAATAGAGAACATAATATAAATGAAAATACAAAAATGATTTGATTCATCTAGTTAAAATGTCATATTTTGTCTGCTTTGTCCTACCATTGGCATGTCAAACCAAAAGAACGCTAGACATCCTTTATGTAATGACTGATGTATTGTGTTCAGTAAGGTTTATGTAGCAGTTGTTCCCTGGCTCGTACTCGTCTCTATTACAAAGGCAAAAGGGTGAGTTCAGTTCGCACACAATGATTCGACTACGCAACTTCCTTTAAAGCACTGTCGTTTAGCCTCTCCATGTAGTTTCGTAGTTCCTTGGAGTCGCCAAGCTCAACATCCTGACATACCCACTTAATGTCATTGTCAGGATCGACTCCCAGACTTTCCTTAGCCGGACTAACACTTTCCACTGGGATGGTGGTGAATGTAGTAAACTTCACACGTTTCCTTTTGGTCGTTGGTGAATCACCTTTGCTGTCTTTCCCGGTGCAGACTGTAGCCGTTTCGGCTCCTCGGTGCACCTGGCCTTGAACGTTCTTCTGCAAAGAACCGCCGTTGAGAAGGTGGCTTCCTTCTTCTAACCCTCCTAAACTGGAGTCCATAATGGTGATGTGCTCATCGGTCTGCGGAGACAAACTTACATGGCTCTCCAGAAATTCGGCGTCATTTCCCAGCCACACCCAGTCGTGGGCATGGTTCAAGCTCTCCTGGCCCTCAATCGACATCTCCTTGTGTCGGTACTTGAGAGTATATGAGATGCAATTGATGAGGAAAACCAGAATAGCCAAACAGAAGACGCCTAGCAAAGCGTACATCCCAATTTCAAGGTCGGTAAGTCCATGAGGTATTTGAAGGTCATCCTCATCCACGTTATGTCCTCGGGGAAGGTCCACTTGAGCGGGGAAGTCTGAGAAGTCAATGGGATTGCCGGGCAACTGGCTCCCATCGTCTGAGAGCTTGTCTCCACCTGGTCTCCTCATGATTGCCGTTTTGGTTGTGGTGGTGATTCTTCTCATGATACTGTCCTCCATGTCTGAGATGGAGCTTCCATAGTAGTGGTTGTCCATTCCGGTCCTATCCGGGAGAGATGGGTTCTGTCTGCGGTCTCCTGGTCTGTTGTTCATGTCGTCTCCATCCTGGCCGTAGTCGTCGGGCCTCAAGGCGCTTTCGCTATGACCAAACTTCACACGGATGTTGCAGTTTCCAGCCGCCAGGACGCTTCGACGCTTAAATTTCTGACACACTTCAGATACCGTCATTTCTACGTGCACCAGCAGACCTTGACCCTCGGCATGGGCAGAAATGACCGGCCACCGGCCTGCTGCATCTTGCCGTACGGACACCACATCCTCATCCAGAGAAGTAGCAGTCAAAACAAAGTGCTCTGGGTTGTATAGGTCCAGAGGAGCCATGGAGCCATCACTGAACTGCAGCCATGCACTGATCAGCGCCTCCTACAGAGCGCAAAGAGAAAAACAAAAGATATGTTTGACTGTATCAGCAATAAATGCATGAAATATTTCTACCATATCAGCTATTGCAGGGGTGTCCAATCCTGCTTCTGGAAGGCCACTGTCCTACAGAGTTCAGCTCCAGCCTCAACTGAACACATCTGAACCAGCTAATCAAGGTTTGTTTAGCATCACTAAAAACTTTTAGACTTTAAAACCTGACAATGATATTATGTTGGGGCAAGTTGGAGCTAAAACGTTAGACAACCTTGAGCTCGATATTTAATTGTGCATGATAATTTGCTCTTCTGTAACATTTACATTACTTTGCCATCATCTAATGCTCACCTAAAGTTAATCTTAAAAAAAAAAATCTTTAAATGCTGTCTTTAACAGATCTCAAAATGAATATCTATTTTTCATACTGTACATAATGCTGTGATTCCTAAATTCACTTGCAGCACTGATTTTAGTGTTTATTGTTATTTTTAACCTATTTAGACAAAATAGTAGAATTTTCTCATCAACATATCTCATTCAGTACAAGGGCAGCACTAGCGAGTCTCAAATCTCAAGATCTATCTACATTGTTTTTTAGCCATTATAGGCTCATAATGCAAAAGCCACTTGAAATGAATATTCTGCCTCATAAAAGCCTTATTTTGACCAAACTTGAGTCAGAATCTTTAGAAGGAACTGTAACATCAAATTTTAAGCATAATATTTCAAATCAGCAATAAAATATCACAATAGTGTCATATATTTTGCCTCTTTTTGCATTTTCAGGCTGGTCCAGCTAAAGCAAATGCACCTTCTAGAGTAAAGAAACATTACTAAAAATGTTTTACTTTACTTTTTAAAAAAATCTGCCATCCAGAGTGGTCCGTCCCTGAAATCAAAGACATACTAAATATCTGCTAAAGGAAACATCTGTCATGACATTTTTTCCTCCAGAACCCCATGTGGTGACACATGTGAAATATTTCTAGCATAAAGTCACTAAAAACTAAAATATAAGGAACAAAATCACAACGCGTCTTCGTGTTTTTGTCACAGGTGCCATTCTGGAAGATGGAGATTCATCTCATTACGAATGTTACGAATGACAAACTATTAAATCATTTTTCAAATAAAAACAAAGCTAAATAGTTTCATGAGCAATAATAGATGTGTATGGACAGTGGATTTGATCAATTCTAAAAGTTATGTACTAATGGTGTGTGAGTGGCTATACATCAGGGGCCTCATTTATAAAATGTTGCGTATAAACCGTCCTAAATTTGTTCTAAGATAATTTCTCAAAAGTGCGTAAGTGCGATTCAAAGAAAACGAACGTTCGCACAAAAACACGTGCGTACGCCTCTCTTCCAGATGTGACATTTATAAATCGTAAATGATCTTGAAATTGTGCGCAGCTGACTGGTGTCAGACCTCCGCCTTGTAAACGCCCCCTAATTAATATCATGACCATATAAAAGATCACATGCCAATATCCGAATTTCTGTGCTTGAGAATGACAAGCACAAAGAAAAAAAAACTTTACTGAGTCTGAAATTGAGGTCCTGCTGGCGGAGGTAGAGGTTTGTGCGGGGACACTCTTTATTTAATAATGTGTAATTATTCTGTGGACAAACTGTGTGTGTTGTTATATTTTTTCAATTGACTATTATCAAAATTACTAGCATACTTCTAGAAATAACTGAAATAATAATAATAATAGTAATAATAAAACCATTAGGTTTCCAAATGTAAGAATAAACTATGAATTCAAGTAAAATTTTCAGTCATCTTATAAAAAGTGAGCCATCCTACTTTTAAAATCACTTGCAATGACAACTAATAAAAAGTTTAGTATCACGAAATTCTTGCAAAACTTTAAAAAACATTATTGAAAGAAAAATTGCACGTTTCATATCATAATAAAATAAATTATTACACGATTATCGTCTCCGGTCTGAAAAAAACCTGCATGTGATTTGGCATTTCTTTATATTTACACAGTTTACTAATGCTGCTCAAATCTGCCATTAATGTAGGCCTACTGACACAAAAAATATAGTGTATTTTATACAAATATAACTGATGTAAATGACAAAAACAAAGTTTAAGGCTGATGTTTCTATTCATTTTCACAGAAGCAAAGCAGCAGGTGTTATAAATAAAAACAGTTAACAATGTTATTGAATAGAGTATTAAAAACCGTCATTGCACGACATAGGCCTATTCTTATAGGCTACACAGACAAAACAGTCGGAGATGTGTTAATGCATTTTTTTTCTATTTTACGCATTAGTAGTAAATCAAGACTTCGCAAGTTCTCTTATAAAATAAAATAATAAATAAAAAAACGGAATAAACCGTGTACAGAAAGCGAGTAGCCTAAAGAACTCTCAACATTAGGCTACTAGGTCAGTTTAATCTGGCAAAAACTACCGTTAATAAAAAATCTGACTACACTGCACAATTAATCTCTTACACTGCATCTTTGTTGTTCATGATGAATTCGGTGCTTGCACGTACACTGCTTTTATTATTATTGCAGTTTAGATGTTCAAATAGCACCTGCTCAGACCCTGACGTGGTGGTAAGTACTTTTCCACGTCAAAGACCGTTTTTATAAATATGAACGTTGCCGTGGATTTTAGCATACGCACACTCTAAGATCAAATCTGTGTGTATGCACATTTTATAAATGAGGCCCCATGTCTATGTATACGCGTGCCTATTAGTTCCCTCATTGTGTTGGAGCCCATGTGTCACTGTGTTTTACTTTACTAATATACTGTCTAACTCCACACAGAAATCCTTTAATGTAGGCCATGAGATCAGAGTGGTCTCTGCTCTACTTGGTGGGTCAGAAGGAGTCAGCTTAAAAGATATGAGAACACAGTGCTATTACGGATATGGGGCTGCATATAGGGATTTGGAACACACAAGCGTCTTAAGCTCTTCACTTACCAAGACATCAATGCTCGCTGTCCGCGAATAACACGCTACAAATCCTTCTACGGGGGAGGGGAAACTCCCAGAGCACTCTAATCATGCACTGAGGCGTGCCTATTAGTTCCCTCATTGTGTTGGAGCCCATGTGTCACTGTGTTTTACTTTACTAATATACTGTCTAACTCCACACAGAAATCCTTTAATGTAGGCCATGAGATCAGAGTGGTCTCTGCTCTACTTGGTGGGTCAGAAGGAGTCAGATTAAAAGATATGAGAACACAGTGCTATTACGGATATGGGGCTGCATATAGGGATTTGGAACACACAAGCGTCTTAAGCTCTTCACTTACCAAGACATCAATGCTCGCTGTCCGCGAATAACACGCTACAAATCCTTCTACGGGGGAGGGGAAACTCCCAGAGCACTCTAATCATGCACTGACCCAGCAAATGAGGGAGGTCATGATGATATGTTTGAAATGTGCTTGAAATTCATGTTTCCATGAAAAACATCTCTGGTACTTAATATGTATTGTCATATTAAGTTCCACAAGAATAAACCGACTATTAAAGCCTCTGAGATACACAAACACATGTATGTCTTGCTTAATTGAAAAGATTGCGTTAACAGCATTGCGCTGCTGCTATACTGAGATGTGTCATTTTGATTAAGACTGTCAACTAGAAGATAATTATACCGAGTCCAGGTACTGAGGCACTGCACACTCACCACCTCCTCTGAGTCCATTAATAAAGCCATAATTAAGCATGGCAGATGTAACCATGGGCAACCATAAATCCTTCTACGGGGGAGGGGAAACTCCCAGAGCACTCTAATCATGCACTGAGCCAGCAAATGAGGGAGGTCATGATGATATCTGTAATACTTTAAAAGCATACTGTGAGCTCCAGAGGGATTTTGCAGTGTGTTTATATACAGTATTCTGCATTTGCAATGTGTTTTAAATAGTTGATTTGTTTTTTTTGTTATTGAAATAACTGATTTATGTAGATTTTTCTCATGCTTCTGATGGCCAGCATTCTTGGAAGATGGACTTATTTGGGACGCTTTAATCGTCAGTTTATCACTGAAGATTCCTATGCTGACATTTTCTGTTTCAAAACTTTGTGCACACATATCTTTCACAATGGATGCTCACTTTTTTTTTAAATTAAATGTGCTGTCTGCAGCTTATATTCCAAAATGACTTGTATAATGCAATTAACAGCAAAACGTGCATATGGACACATTTGGATTTTAGAGAGGTATTTGAGCTCAAGTATTTGTATAGCGCATTTCCCACATGCCTGTCATTTCCATTTCTTTAACTAAACTAGTTTAGGCTTGGCTTTTACAATAAATGTTGCTTATAATGAATGACACTATAATTTATGTATAATTTAGCCAGAAACCTAAGGTGCTTAATATGAGAAACACTATTTGTGTGATGCACTACTGTTTGTAGCAGAGTCGCTGTCTAGGTAGAGTATCCCAAATCAGTCATTTGTGAGGCTCCATTTCGGCTATGGACATTTTAAGCACATTTTACATGGTGAACACCATCTGCGTGTTCTCAGTTCATTTTCAATAGGAGACACGTGGCAGACCACAGATCAGGGACGACGCTGCACACCACGAAAGATAACCGTTATAGCTTGTTGCTCACATGTGTGGAAAAGTGGCTGTGCACATGAGAGATGGGAGGATTACAAGAAAAACTTGTGGACTAACGCATACAGTGTAAAATACCATTTAGGATGCTGCCTTTTTTAGGAAATAGGCAGGTTTTGAAACAGTTTTAGTGGTAATTGTGCATAAAGATGAGGAAGAATACTATTTTCTTTGTTTGAAATGTGCTTGAAATTCATGTTTCCATGAAAAACATCTCTGGTACTTAATATGTATTGTCATATTAAGTTCCACAAGAATAAACCGACTATTAAAGCCTCTGAGATACACAAACACATGTATGTCTTGTGTGTGAGCACACGCACCATGGCCCTCTGGTACTGTAGAGTACATGTCTTTCCTCTCCGCTCTTCATCATCGTCATCTTCACTGTCCCGCGTTGACCTGGGAATGGAAAGGATACATTTTTGAATCTGCACGCAGAATCTTCAGCATATTTATAAACCAATCATGTTTTTGTTAAACTCTTCAAAGGTTTCATGAAATATTTTTTATGAAACGTTTCACAAAACTTTTTTTTCCCCCCAGAAATAACTATTTGTTGACACTCCTAAATTACGCTTCATTAGGCTGATGCACTTAATCAAGGGAAGCCAATTAAGCATATCAGTTTAATTTAATACTCTGCGACTGAGTGACATTTCCAGCAAAAGCTGGAAATACAATGAAGCATTTGCTTTCATTCAGGACGGATCATCAAGGATTGATGTTAGAGGTCATTGGATCAAGGTAAAGAGATTCACAAAGAACACATTCATATTTGAAGACAGAGCTTAAGGTGCTTTAGTAATCAAAGATCAGTTCAAGTATTCCAGTCAAAATCACTTCATGAATGTTTATTTATACCCATGCGCCCATGCAACATCTATGGCGCTCTTCATCATCGTCATCTTCACTGTCCCGCGTTGACCTGGGAATGGAAAGGATATATTTTTGAATCTGCACGCAGAATCTTCAGCATATTTATAACCCAATCATGTTTTTGTTAAGCTCTTCAAAGGTTTCATTAAATATTTTTTATGAAACGTTTCACAAAACCTTTTTTCCCCCCAGAAATAACTGTTTGTTGACACTCCTAAATTACGCTTCATTAGGCTGATGCACTTAATCAAGGGAAGCCAATTAAGCATATCAGTTTAATTTAATACTCTGCGACTGAGTGACATTTCCAGCAAAAGCTGGAAATACAATGAAGCATTTGCTTTCATTCAGGACGGATCAGCTAGGATTGATGTTAGAGGTCATTGGATCAAGGTAAAGAGATTCACAAAGAACACGTTCATATTTGAAGACAGAGCTTAAGGTGCTTTAGTAATCAAAGATCAGTTCAAGTATTCCAGTCAAAATCACTTCATGAATGTTTATTTATACCCATGCACATCATCTATGAGTGAAAAATTAAAGTAAAGGTCATAGTGCTCTTTAGATGATTTTTGCGTGGAACAGCAAAAACATAAAATCACTGGAAGAAAAACTCCATGTTGTGTTTAAACATTGAAAATAGATTGCATTAAACTAATTTCTGGCTATCTGTGAGGAAGGTGTGTGTGTGTGTGGGTGGGGGGGGGTCCTCTGGATCAGATTACAGCGTGTGTTGTGTTAATGTGACTTTCCTGGTACTGTAATTGAACCCATTTCATAATGCGATCACATACAAGAATTACAGAATGAAAGAATACTCCACTCACATGCAGAACAATTGTTTTGTTCCATCTCATTAATTATTTCTCTCCATTACCACACTCGCACACACACACGCACACACACTCGCGCGCGCACACTCGCGCGCGCACACACACACACATGCACACACAATGCATATTTGTTAAATATATAACCCGTTTTAGTGCTCTTGTTCATTACAATCAAGAAATACAACAGTAATACTTCTAATGTATGGCTGCCAGGAAACCAATTCGTGCCCTCTTCAGGCATATAGTAACAGAGTAAAAATACATACAAAAATACTTTATTGGAAAAATGTCTCCGGGTCAAGTAAAACAAACGTAAGGTGACATTGGCATTTTTAACATGCTCGTTCATCCTTGCTAAACATGTTCACATTGTGATAATCACAGGAAAGATGAATGTACTTTGGCATGCGCTGTGTAGACCGGACTGCAGCTGTGCGAGCCAACTCTAGCACTGGCTAATGAGCATCTGGGCCGCCTGACACATGTTCATAAACTGCTGAGAGAGGCCCTTGACTTTCTGTAGCACTAGGTGAGCATGGCTAGTGGAGGCAGGCTAATTAGTCGTGATGTGCTGACGATGAAGTCCTTCATTTAACAGCATGCGTTTTAGAGGGTACATGTGGAGTTGGAGTCATTTGGGTAAGATTCAACAAATTTCATGTCCTGATATCTCAAAACAACCTTGCTAACAAGAACACAATTAGCACTAGCCAGGGCCCCTAAAACCAGGTGGAGGCTCTAAACCGGACTTAGTCAGCTGTTAAAAAAGTATGTAATTTTTAAAAACTGGAGACATGCAAGAACCTCTTTACCTGCAGAATCCTAAACTGCTTGGAATGAAAGCTACTTCATTGGCTGAACTTTTTTTTTAAAAGCTACAACATCTCCTTTTTGGGTGAAGATAGTTCATCCAAAAATTTATATTCCATAATTTACTCACCCTCATCTTGCTCCAAACCTGTATGAATTTCTTTCTGCTGCTGAACACAAAACAAGATATTTTGCCATTGACTTCCATAGTATTTTTTTCATATTTCTATCAAAATATGTTAACTAATGTATTTTAAATGATATATTACATGATCAGAACAAGATATACAATAACATATAATGTTTTGGATCAGACATTTCCTATCAGTCTCCTAATGTCCTATACAATAAAGGCAAAAAAAGATGATTGAGAAAAATATATAATTTTTAAGAGCTTCCATTCATTCGCTTATTCGTAAATAATTTGATATAGTTTTAGCATACATTAGTCACTTTCAAACCAAGCAGGTTTGTGCGAATCTGTGTGAAAAACTGCATTGATTCATATTGAATGGTTGAAATGTACCTGCAAAAATGATACCAAACAATGGTAAATGTGGCTACACTACAAGACAGTGACGTTCAAAATTGGTTTAATTGTGACTTAATGGGACATTTTACAATTTAAACTCTTTCTCAAACTCCAAGTAGTTGACATTCATTGGCCAGGCCATTACACATTGAGTGAAATGTTTCCAACCCTGTTAATGTCAGCATGGCCTAATTAATATTCATAAAAAAAAGTCATGTCATTTACCCCCCCAATTTTCAAAAATTGTGTAAATTTAATCACTCATTTTTAATTATTGTTTTTGAATCTAAGTTTGACTGAACTTGCAACACCAAGCAGCGTGTGGGTGCTGCTGAAGTAACTAGTGTAATGAATACTACAACATGAGTGAGTGGGTTCTTAAGTTGCCACCACAGCAGTGTGCATTATTGCCACAAGACTGCAACATTTGGATGGACTTTGGGGCTCTGTCACTGAATCAGAATATGATTGCATCAGGTGGCCATCTTGTTAGTGCTCACTGAGATTGAGGCTGTCAGGAGGACGGCAATCGAGCCCCTCATTACAGTCCACTCGAGCCACACTGACAGACAACCTCCCACCACCAGAGACACAGATCTATGAAGATCCTGCTGGTGTAGGGGTTTGTCACTTGTCTCATTTAAGTCCAACTTAACTAGTGTTGTCCAAAAATAATCATTATATACTGATTACATTGACCTTAATTTCAACAGAGATTTCAAATCAGTGCATGACGTAGAGTAGATTGCAAACACACAAAACACATTGAAGATAACAGCAAAAAAAAAGATCTAAATTTTTACATTTTCTTCAGGAAGTTAGAGGTCACCTAACAACTGTCTCTGTATTTGCTAATTCATTGCTAAGGTGTTCAGAGTGGTCTCTAGGGCATTGCTTCGGAGTTGTGGGCAGTTGCTATGGTATTACTAGGTAATTGCTTGCTGCTCAAAATTAAAAGGGTCCACTCTTAAGTTTCTATGATATTCAGATCCCTAGATATGAGTGAGGTATGAAATGAGTTTTCAATGGAAGTCTATGGGATATTTTCATCCGTTTAAATGTTCAAATCATCTGATTACTTAGAAAATGAATCCAATTAGGGGAATCATTTGTAATACTAGCAACATTTTGGGTGGGAGAATAATAAAGTATGAGCAGTAATAATAGCTATGTTTGCCAATGAAATGAATTAATAACTATAGCACAAAAAATCAAAAGAAAAAACAAAATGAATAATACACTTTAAATTTAAAACCTGTAATACATCAAATTATTTGATTTTATACTATTGTGACATTCTTCTGAGATTTTTAGCGAGTTTAGCGAGTGATTGGTCAATCAAAAATATAGCCCCACCCCAAACACACACCATTTGTTAAGCTGTTACAGTGTCAGAATGGTCAGGAGGCTCAAAACAAACAGAACTATACAAACAACTATATAAAACAAATAGCACCATAGAGACACAGTGTCGAAAATTCACACTGGCGAAAATTCAGCCAAATTTTGTAGACAAAAAAAAAAGTCTATTGTCAATAGTGTAGCAAAGTATGAAGCACCATTTACACGCAAGTCACTTTCAAACCAAGCAGCTTTCTGCTGGTCAGTGACCCATTTGAACCTGTTGTGAAATCTGTGATATTATATTAAAATGACTGGATTGCCAAACAATGACAGATGTGACCGCCCCCTTACACTTTTCATAGAAATCAACCTACAATAGGTTCACTCTGCATATTACTTTGCACATATTGTCTCTGCAAATTAAATTAAGAGAAAATCTTTACCACTGTAAAAAAATACACACTTCAGCTTTAACTGTGCTTGACCTTTTAAATGAAGGTTGTTTATGTAGAGTTAGATGCACAAACACTTGAAACCCACAAACAGAAATGCATAACAAGCAGGTTTATGTAAAAACAAAGAAAGAAGTATGAAGCAATTAGCATCCAATATTCATTCTGTGTACACATATAGATCTATAATGAAAACACAGACTTCCACAATCTAACAAACCAGTATACCATGAGTTACTTTGGTAGTAGTACCGTGGTCTACTGATAATCCAGTGTGTGCAAACCGTGAGGCAGGGTACACAAGTAGTGATGTCATAAGGGGCCACCCCTGCTTTGGGGGTCTTGCACTGCAAAAATATATTTTTTTCAATCAACATATTTTTTCAAAGTCAAGCCAACAGTATTCATGTCAGGTACTTCACTTATGTTGTTGAAAAGTTGAGCAGAGAAGTTTGGGAAGGAGTGCCACTGCACAATGTATGGGATCTCCCGTCTGGCTTTGCTCAACCTCTCCATTAATCTCTATTGTAAATGTCTCAAGAGCTTCCCTCAGACTCCTGGAGTCTGGATTCACAATCCACAAAGCTACATGTACACACAGAGCAACCCGTTGGGAACATGAAATTTCATCTATGAAGAGCTTCATATTTTATATTCTGTATTCTCAGCTTCTCACACACGTTGTGAATCATTATACCACATGGGACATACGGAAATGGAGACGTAGAGGAAACTGCCTCCATACCTCCAGGAAATCGTATATATTGACTTTATTCTATTTTGAATTCACAAGCCCAAGTGGTTCCTTGTGGGTTATAAGGAGAGAGGTGAAATGTATCCCCATACTTCAGGTTTGAATGACAACAAAATATGAAAGGTGCATGCTGGGAAATTGAATCCAGGAGCATTTGCAATAGGTTTAAAATGATCAAGTCCCTGTAATGTGGCTGTTTCACAACTCAAGGATTTCCTACTTTTACAGATTAACTTTAACAGACTTTTAACCAATCCAGGGATTCTCCTGGATTTCATTCACACCATGACAACTTCATTTAATAACAATAACAACCCTAATTGCTTAACATAATGCATATTTATAATTAGAAATGTCAAAGGTTTGTGACCTTTGTGTGAATGAAATCATTATGAATGCTTAATATGAACTTTTGATCTATAAACATTATATAATAATTGGTAATTAAATAAATGTAAGCTGTAGTGTTATTAATTCTTAATGAAGCCCAACAGTATCCACTCTGGAATTCCCATTCATTTTCTCCATTAGAAAGCTTTCTGGAAAAAGGTCCAAGTGCAACAAACCAACCAGAAGTGAGATGTATCATAACATTATTTGATTCTAAGCCAAGGAGGATGTCTATTACACCCTTTGCATCACGCCCTTTGTCCTATCACGGATTCACGGCACTACTGGACTGCACAACAGAGAGTTTGTTTAATGTTTTACTGAGCTGCTGGTAAGTTTCTGTGTGATTGCGTGGGGCTTCTCACATTCCTCCACTTCACCGCTCACAGTACAAATCGATATGAGGATTTTAGTGCATTTTCACTTTAAAGTTTGAACTTTTTATGTTTTTTATTTGAATTCTGAAAAATACTCAGGATTTACACTGAAAATTGTTGTGATTTGTCTTCATATATCTGATTATTATCTTATTATGTTTCATGTGGTCGCTAGAGATAGACATCTCCTTCTCTGTGCCATATTCACATTTTTTTAAAACAATCATTGCAGCGTTCTCTTAATTTTTCCCTTTTAAGTTTCTAACTTCAGGATTTTCAGCCTCTGTGTTTATAGAGCTGTCAATATTTATGAGTTGATCACAGAGACAGATGCAACCACTGATGCTATAAAAAGTTTTAGAGACCCCTAGCGGGTGTCACTGTTCAATACACATGCACACACACGCACACACGCACACATACCACAGACCACCTCATGTACATTCACAGCCCCTGGTTGAACAGATTGCAGACTGTGGGTTGGGATGTGTAGAACTTTGTGAGTGACAGGTGTTTGAATTCTGCTGAGTTTTCACTGAGCATGCAGATTCAGTGTGGATCAACCGATCACTCAATATTTGCAGAATCCTACACAAAGTTTCATACCTCTGGGCGTTACTGTTTACGGGAATCCTCCAGCCTTTGATCTGACTGAGTTCCGTATCTGAAACTTCGATGTGCAGAGGCAGTTTGGGAATCCAGACCTTCACCTCCAGCTGGGCCCTCAGGTAACCGTACGTGAAGTTCAGCAGCATTCGGACCCGTCCTCTCATCTCTTTGCCATTCACGTAGACGTAATCACACCTGTCCGATACCTGAGAGCAGAAAAAAAGGATGTCAGTGATGGAGAAGTGAGGAAAGAACAGTGGATTGATCTTTTCAAGACACATTAGTGAACTTCACATTACCAAAATCAATACAATGCTTCTGAGCAAAAGACAAGGTATATTTGCAATGGATTGGCAGTGAAGTCTGACAATATTGGAAAATATTTTATTTTCTCTCTTTCAAAAGTTAGTGATATGGTATAAGTATCTCCTTAAGTTATGGTTTATAAAAGATTTAGATTTAGAACACAGATTTAGGTCATGATTAAATATCCCACGTCTTAACATTACTGGGGTGTATTTTTATCTTGGCTCCCACAGTCTCTCAGTTGTTCTCATCTCTTTCAGTTTTTCTATTGGTTTTCACCTTTGAATGAAAAGATAAAAGCAGTACTGGCTCTATCACATTTAACAGAGCACTACAGATGCCCAAGATGAAAACGGCACTTGTTATCTTAAGGTAAAAGACTGAAGGTATAACTGCATGTGTGTGAGTGGGTTTTGTTATGGTATGTAAACTAGTTCCCTTTCAGTCAGTCACGTTCTACGTTACATCAGTCGTGACTGACGAATTGGGATCTCACCCGAGAGCCCAATCCCCTTCGAGTGTAAACTAAACAAGCCAATGACAGTTGGCGTGCGTGTTTCGCCACGCGCACCCCGCCCCGCAGCGCGGGTATAAAAGGAGAGCGCATGCAAACGCACATCAGCTTTTCGCTTCGGAGCCGAGCCTTCTCAGGACGAATCTCCACGAGTGTTTGGAAGAAACAACTGGCGTTGGTGTTACGGCACGTCAGCGGGGGTTGCCATTCAGTGCTGCTCATCTTTGGCGTGCTGCAGCTGCCATTCTGCGGTCTCGCCGCGACCTCCCCTGGGCGCTTCAGCGCTCTCTCTAAAAGAGTGTTTCCTTTTTTTCCTAAAAGAGCAAATATCTAAAAGAGCTCCACGAGCAACGGGCGTCTTTTTAAAGATGGCTTCCCACTCGTGCGTTTCTGGATGCGGTCGTTTCCTGCCTCCATCTGATGGTGATGATCGCTGCCTCTCGTGCCTGGGCTTACAGCATGCTGAAGCAGCGCTCATGGATGAGTCATGTTCTCAGTGCTGGAACATGACCATCGCGATGTTGCGGTCTAGATACCTCCTCATTAAACGTACCTCCCTAGATACCTCCTCATTAGATACCTCCCCCCGCTCTAGCTCTTCCGGTCAGCTCTGCCCGCAAAGCGCCGCCGCCTGGAGGGGTAGTCCACGCTTTCCTTCCAGGGCCTGTAAGTTCTCGTCCGCTCTGACAGCTAAGGCTTACCGTGCTGCTGGACAGGCCGCTTCCGCCCTGCACGCCATGGCCCTCCTGCAAGTCCACCAGGCCAAGGCGTTGAAGCAGTTGCACGAGGGTGGTGCTGACTCAGGTGTGCTGCAGGAACTGCGCACCGCGACGGACCTCGCGCTTAGGGCGACGAAAGTCACGGCGCGGACCCTGGGTCAGACGATGTCCACATTGGTGGTCCAGGAGTGCCACCTGTGGCTGACCTTGGCGGAGGCCGACAAGCATCGTTTCCTGGACTCCCCGATCTCCCAGGCCGGCCTATTCGGCGAAGCGGAGGGCGGCTTTGCCCAACAGTTCTCCGCCAAGCAGAAGCAGATGGAGGCGTTTCGACACATCCTGCCCCGGCGGTCTGCTGCTGTCTGCACCCCACCGCTGGCTGCAGCCCCTCTGTCTGCTCGACGCCGAGGGTGCCCTCCTGCGACCTCCACCTCTGCTCCGGCACGGCCACAACAGCAGCCCTCACAATGGCCACAGCGTGGAGCTGGCCGCAGGAAACCAGCGCAGCCCGCCTCCGCCCCTGCCAAGCCCGTGAAGCGCCAGAGCAGGCGGCGTCCCTGAGACGGGCGACCCGGAGCTCTTGGATTCTGCTCTTCAGGAGATGGTGACTGCACCACTCCTTCCCCCGGAGGAGGGCCGGGTGGAGAATCTTATGTTTCCATTTGTTTTTGTTCTGCCACTCGCTACCCAGCCAGTGGTACGCAAAACTTCAATAAAAGAGCAGTTTCCTTTGCCTCCGGGTCCCAAGAGGGCGAGGATGGCGGTGCACGAGACCCTGTCTCCACACGACCGTCCCCCTCTCCTTTCGCCGATGGGCAGCAGGGTCCGGTTAGGGGACACTGTGCCTCCTCACGAGCCCCCTGCCCAGCTATGGAGCCAGGTAAGTGGTGCGCCGCGCACTCAGACCCAACCCTCGGACGCACGGCCTCCCGGGTTGGGTACCTGTGTTCCACCTCGCTGCCCCACTGCAGGTACATCGGTGGTTTCCCTGGTCCCGCTAGTTCGGTCGCTGGGGGCCTGGTTAGCGCTGCCCAGGCTGTCTCGCTGGCTCATGAGAACCATCAGACTTGGCTACGCGATTCAATTTGCCCGGTGCCCTCCCAAGTTCAGGGGCATTCGGTTCATCTCGGTGCTGGACAAGGATGCTCCTGTCTTGCGTGCAGAAATCGCGGTCCTGCTGGTGAAGGACGCGATACAGCTGGTCCCTCCAGCCGAGATGAGGTCGGGTTTCTACAGCCCGTACTTCATCGTACCCAAGAAAGACGGTGGGTTACGACCGATCCTGGACCTGCGCGTACTGAACCGGGCCCTTCACAAGCTCCCGTTCAGGATGTTGACGCAGAAACGCATCTTTCAATGCGTCCGTCCTTTCGATTGGTTTGCAGCGATCGACCTCAAGGACGTGTACTTTCATGTCTCGATTCTCCCTCGACACAGACCGTTTCTCTGCTTTGTGTTCGAAGGGCGAGCGTATCAGAACAAGGTCCTCCCCTTCGGGCTATCCCTGTCGCCTCGTGTCTTCACCAAGGTCGTGGAGGCAGCCCTCGTTTCATTGAGGGAAGCGGGCATTCGCGTTCTCAACTACCTCGACGACTGGCTCATATTGGCCCAGCCCCGTGCGCAGTTGTGCGAACACAGGGATATGGTGCTCAGTCACCTCAGCCGATTGGGGCTTCGGGTCAACTGGGAAAAGAGCAAACTCTCCCCGGTGCAGAGGATCTCTTTTCTCGGCATGGAGCTGGACTCGGTCAACCTCTCAGCCCGTCTCTCAGTAGAGCGCGCGCAGTCGATGCTGAACTGCCTGGGGTCCTTCCAGTGCAAGACGGCGGTTCCACTGAAACAATTTCAGAGGCTCCTGGGGCATATGGCATCCGCAGCCGCTGTCACGCCGCTCGGGTTGCTTCATATGACACCGCTTCAGCATTGGCTTCACGACCGGGTCCCGAGATGGGCATGGCGACACGGCACTTACCGGGTTTCTGTTACCCCGTTCTGCCATCAGACCCTCAGCCCATGGACAGATCTTGCCTTTCTTCGGACAGGAGTATCCCTTGGGCAAGTATCCAGGCATGTTGTTGTGTCAACAGATGCCCCGGCCAGGGGCTGGGGTGCCATGTGCAGTACTGCGACCATTGCGTACAGCAACCACCAGGGCGGTCTACGCTCCCGTCGCATGTCGCAGCTTTCCCGCCATCTCCTCCTCTGGAGTCAGAAGCATCTGAGGTCGCTTCGCGCCGTTCACATGCCAGGCGAGCTAAATCTTGCAGTTGACGAGCTCTCATGTCAGCCCGCCCTTCCGGGAGAATGGCGACTCCACCCCGAGACAGTCCAGCTGATTTGGAGACGCTTTGGGGATGCTCAGGTAGAGATGTTTGCCTCCCCGGATACGTCACATTGCCAGTTGTTTTACTCCCTGGCCGAGGGAACCCTCGGCACGGACGCACTGCATGCAGCTGGCCTCGGGGCCTACGCAAATATGCGTTTCCCCCAGTGAGCCTTCTCGCACAGACACTGTGCAAGGTCAGGGAGGACGAGGAGCAGGTCCTCTTAGTGGCGCCATACTGGCCCAGTCGGACTTGGTTCCCCGAACTGATGCTCCTCGCGACAGCCCCTCCTTGGCGAATTCCTCTGAGGAGGGATCTCCTTTCTCAGAGAGGGGGCACCCTCTGGCACCCGCGTCCAGACTTGTGGAATCTCCACTTATGGTCCCTGGACGGGACGCGGAGGTTCTAGGTGGGCTACCTCCAGCGGTAGTAAACACCATCACTTCAGCCAGAGCCCCGTCTACTTGACACGCTTACAGGCTGAAGTGGAACCTGTTCGTCGGTCGGCGGTCAGGCGTGGCGGAGTGCCAGACGCCAGGCTCAGCACTCGTGTGCATGCCCAAGGTCAGCCCTTGTGCTGGGCTAGGTGCCCGTGTGTAGTGATTCCCCCTTCAGGTGATCCCACATGTGTATTCCTCCACGGTACGGCTCCCCTCACGGTTAGCCTATGTCTTTCCCTGGCAGTCATTCGCTGCCATCTCTGCTGCGTAGTCATCTCACCCCAGGCGGGTTGAGTCTACCGCAGGGACTTCCATATGTAGCACTGCCCTGGGCCAGTCCATATGTGTAATTCCACATGATACCTCCTATGCGCGGGATGTGGCTTCCGTAGTGTTCCTAACTGGGGACGCTCTCCCAGTGTTATCCAATGTACCACTGTATGGAACAGCAGTGGCGGACACCTCTGCCTAGCCGCTGTCCTATCTTCCGCCCCAGCTGGTGTGGGGGGACTTGCTGGCTTCCGCAGGGCACTGGAGGGGGTCAGCAATAGTGGCGTTTTCCATACGGATCCCAATTCGTCAGTCACGACTGACGTAACGTAGAACGTGACTGACTGAAACGTTACGTCCCGTCGCCACAGTTGCTGTACCACCACTGTACGGCCGGGGCACGTAGTCTCGGCTCCTCAGCGAAAAACTGATGTGCGTTTGCATTTCAGGGTTTGGGTTTGTGTTTTTAAAGGTCTATGATATGTCAATTTAGACTGCCAAGTAAAAGTGTCTGTGTGACTAAGGCTAACACTGCAAGTGTTAGTGCTTAATTCTGATTTATTCCTCAGATCCGATTATTATTATTTTAAATTTTTTGTTTGTTTACATTGTATTTATTTTTTTTAACTGATC